CCCCACAGAGAGAAAGCTGCCCCAGGGTTCTGAACGATGCCAGACAGTCCTGCTTCTGCTTCTCCCGTATTAGTCTGGGTCCCTAGAGACTCGCCTGGAACTGGAGCTCAGAGCCTGAGACTCCCTCCAGATTGAAAACGACAACGACGCCCTCAGCCGCCAGCCCGCTCCGCACGAACCTCCGCACCTTAGTGTTTTACTTTCACACTGCACTTCCTCTGAGTCTCAGTATGCTTTTCTCTTTCTTCTAGTTGTAAATTTCCACTCAGCCAGCCTTCCTATTGTTCTGGGTGATGTCCTTCCGTATTTAGTTGTATTTTTGAAGTGGTTGTGCAAAGCAGCAATCTCCGGTGTTTACCTATGCCACCATCTTGGTTTCTCCATATTTCTTGTATAGTATTTTCATTTATGTGCTGGCCCCTTCATCAGATACTGAACTCCTGCCACAAAAGGTTGCAGCATTCCAGTTCCACAAACAGGAATCTGGAGGAGAAGATTAGCCTAAGCCAAAAAACTAAGTGATAAAGGAAAAGTTGGAAATTCACTGGAAAGGTGGAAAGTTCACCCCGCAGAAAGCCCTTGCCAGCTTCAGAGTCACAAATGTAAGTGGAAGAGGAATATTTTGATTCAGCCAGGTTATAATGGGGAAGAATTCGAGTAAAAGGCAGAAAGGACACTGTAAATTTTTAGCTTGCATGCTCAAGGATAAAAGAATTAAGGTATCACAAGGTACTCTCTTAAATCAGGCTCAAGAAAACTAATGCCCTTGTCATCTTTAACTCTGTGGGCTCTTGTTTGAACTGCATTATGCCCACTTCATATTGGGGATCAAAAGTCTGTAAAACCTAAGGCCCCAGAATCTCTGACTCTAGTGTGGGAATTCTCATCCACTAGAGAAAAAGGGGCTAACAGTCCTTGTACAAAAGGACTCTTTAATGCTTTGTCTGAAAATTACCATGTGACGCCTTGGGACTGGCAGATTTTAGCTGAAATGACTTTAGAGGCCAGTCAGTACTATGGAGAGCAAAATAGGATAAGATCTGTGAACAACAGGCTGAGATCTGGGCCACATTCTGGCTGTAAGTCCCAGGCAATGTAAAATATCTGAAAGATTCATGAGAAGAACTCTGATTTATTAAGTCTTGTCTGTGTGTTGTGCACACTTGTCTGTTGACTGTTGTTTTATCTGTCTTTGTTGTTTGGTTTAATGTGTTTATTATTAGTCTATCAAGCATGCCTTTAATTTAATTTAATACAAAAGTAACAACAGATGGCCAAGCCATTACTAAATTTCCCCAGACCAAACAGAATGTGAGAACGGGGAGAAACAATATCAGCGGTACACGTGGCCAATAGCACAGATTCTAGAAAAATTCCCTAGACAAAGTAAAGGTAACTAAAAAAGGCCCCAGCCCATTAATAACTAGGTCTCTTATTGATCCTGTAAAATGGACAACCACTCTAAGGAGTGTTCTTAAAAGTCTCATTTTCACCATGTTTTTATTTCCCAGTCCATCACTTGAAATTTGGATACATGAGACATTTCTCACAATTTAGGCATGCATATGCGATTTCTGTACCTATGAAGAGAAAATGACTAGCTTATGAGAAGGTGCAGGCTGCCCGATTTTGGGTGGCTTCTTGGCCTAAGCTTCATCTCTTCAACAATGCTATAGACTAGGCCCCAGACTCTTTTTCTTTAAAAGATGGCAAAAATGACACAAAGAACATATACAGGCTGTGTTTGGGCAATAAGATTAGTGTTTCCATAGTAATGGGTAATTCTTGAATAATAATGGAATGCATTCCAAGGTTGCCTCACAAGACCTGGGGGCACTGCTGTTTTAATAAAATGAAATGAAATGAAATGAAATGAAATGAAATAAATAATAAAATAAAATAATAAAATTCTATCTAATAAAAGAGTAATATGCAAATTGACCATCACTCCAACACACAAGATGGCCACCCCCATGTGGTCAAAGATGGCCACCACAAGATGGTCAGCAGGGGAGGGCAGTTGGGGGTGATCAGGCCAGCAAGGGAGCAGTTAAGCATCAATCAGGCTGGCAGGGGAGCAGTGAGGGGGCGATCAGGCTGGCAGGCAGAAGCAGGGATCGGGCCTCA